CATACAGTGTCTTTGCCATCTTCGGGAACCTCAACCACAGCTGCCTGCAGGAATGTGATAAGTCGTTACCATCTCGACAGCAGCGTGTCGTCGCAACACACCTACAAAAAGAAAAGCTCAAGGAGCTCCAAGTCCTTCAACAAAGGTGGTTATCTCAGTGATGGTGACTCTCCTGAACTTTTAACAAAATCAGGTAAACATGGGCATGAAACCAAGTGTGGGAAAGGAAAGGAGAACCTTCCAAGTAACAGTGGTAAAAGTGAAATAGATATAGATGCTTTCAGACACTATAACTTTTCTGATCAACCCAAGTGCTCTCAGTACATCTCTGGACTCATGAGCATTCACTTTTATGGTGCTGAAGACTTAAAACCACCAAGAATAGACTCAAAAGATGTCTTTTGTGCAATACAGGTTGACTCAGTAAACAAAGCAAGAACAGCCCTGCTTACGTGCAGGACGACGTTTCTAGATATGGACCACACGTTCAACATAGAAATTGAAAATGCTCAGCACTTAAAGCTGGTGGTGTTCAGCTGGGAACCCACCCCGCGGAAAAATCGGGTGTGTTGTCATGGAACCGTGGCTCTTCCCACTCTCTTCCGAGTGACAAAGACACACCAGCTGGCTGTCAAACTGGAACCGAGGGGGCTTATTTACGTCAAGCTGTCGCTCATGGAGCAGTGGGAGAACTCTCTTGATGGTCTTGATGCAGATCGGGAGCCTGTGATGTTCGGGGTAGATGCTCGAAAAGTTGTAGAGAAGGAAAATGCGGGCTTGATGGTGCCACTTTTGATGCAGAAATGCATCCTGGAGATTGAAAAGAGAGGCTGTCAGGTACTGTGCATGTTTTAATCTGTTTTGTTAGTATTTCTGTGTTGGGATAGCTGTTACTGCAGAGTGTGAGTGGGAAAGGGGAAATTAAAAACACCTCTACAGGTCACTTTTTTGGTGTGTTTTGCTGCTCCTGTTGTTTGGTGAACGCTAGTCATTGTCATGTGGGAAGAATAACGGGACTGTGTGAAATCAGTGCTTCCAGCCTGGCCTTTGTAGAGGAGATGTATGTGTGCTCACAGTAGTGCCTTAGGACTAGGGATGGTTAAATGAACCTGCAGCCCCCAGCACGTAGTCACACTCGGAAAGCAGAGCTGCGATGAGAACTTGAAAATGCCCGATTCCTGAGACACAGATCGCTCCCTGAGGACATACTGCATCTAAATGCAAAAATTAGTATGAAGTTTCCTCCTGCCTGAAGCTGAAGTGTGCAGTGACACAAAGTGATGAGGACAGGCCTTTTGACTAAACTCCACTTACCTGCGTGCGGTCTCAAGCCAACATGCCAAAGACTGGTCTCTGCCATCGCTTTGTGCACCGCATTAAGATAAGGAGGAGACCCTGAGGGGCTGAATTAATTGTTTCCCCGCTGCCATTGCTCCTTGCCTTTCTTCAGGGTGTTTTCAAAATCAGGACAGGAGATGAATGCTGGTAAGGCAGCAGTGCCCAGCATCTTCTCTTCATCCTGATGCAGTTTATTGGTTGATGTAACCCAGTGGACAAAAACACGTATGAGAAATGAGGTATGGAAACAAATTCCCAGTTACGGCTGCTAGACGAGAAGCCTGTTAGGAAGAAAGATGCACAGTCCTAAGGATGGGTATCCCCGTTGGCAATTAATTTGAGACTGGTGAGAGGACTCCTGCATGTTATTCTGCAGTGTGTGTGAGCCCTTGGTTTCTTTTACACCTGTTCTTGCTCAGGTGAAATTGAGAAGCAATCACACCTACCGCTGTTACTATTTTAAATTGCTGACAGGTTGGATGTAGTTCCAGGTGTTAGGAGATTAACTCTGCTATTTATAACCTAGGTCATAAAATATAGACAGAAATGGTACTTCTATTTAATTACTTTGCTGGAAGTCACTACTGGTTAACAACTGTGATTCTTATTGTGAATGCTCTCATGACATTCTGCAAGTCGGTGGAAAATAGAAGTTTTATTCTTTCCAACATATGTGTCCCATGGTTTCAGCATTTTATTTTGGGCTTATTAGCACCTAGTCATGCAGATGATATTGGGTAATCAAGGCAACACTGGTAATGAAGCAATTGGGATCTGAATTGTCTGAATGTACCTCGTGCCTTTGAGCATGAAATCTAATTTGTGTATTTGCACAGGGAGAACCAAAAATGCAAAATATACTGTTAACTTCTTGTTTCAACCACGTGCCTGTCTGACGTTTTTGATTTTCCTATAGACAGCAGACTACTGTCATAGTGTGTCACCTCCACCTGAATTTCAGGCGTGGCATTAGAAAACTTCAGAGTTTAAAAGAAATTGTCTTAGGCAAATACTAGATCATAGTCTTGGGAAAGAGGGAGTACAAATTCCATTGGGTAACTATCCATTTATTTAAGCAGGAATTAATATATGGCCAGACAAATATTCTTCTTTGCAAATCCAGATTCGCGTAGTCTAAGTCAGTACAGTCTCAGTCAGGAGGTTTTGGGGGGGTTGTTTTTGTCTTTTGAGTCCACGGTAGTTTTGGACTTGCTATTTATTGCTCAGCATACCTGCCTATAAAGTTCATGAAAATCAAGTAAAATTAATATATTTAAGATTTAGTTCCTTAATATCATAGGAGTGCTTTGTATAAATGGTGTTGATGAAAAGTAAATTATGATACAGTGAAAAATTTGAGTGCATGAGAGCACATGGTTGAATTAGTAATTCAGTCCAAGGGCGTTGTGGGTTTCATTTCTGGCGCCTTGAGCCTGTTAAATAACCCCTGCTTTGCATAAAACTTTTAATATAATTTGAAACGTGCAAGTCAGCATCTTGACATCTTTAAAACAGCATCTTATGGTTGAAATAATGGAGTATTCATAATTCTTTTGAAACCCTAGTATCAAATATGTTATCTAGCTTATTCTATATTTCCTTGTTTCCTAAGTTTGCATAAAAGCAAAGCACTAAACGATTCCAAGGTAAAAGTCACGTTCTGTCAATAAAATACTGCTCCGTGTGTTCACTGTTATGGAAAGCTTCCCTGTTAGTAGCTTAGCAGTTCAGTCACAACTGTGTTTCTTGTGTAATGCTTGGTAACATACGTTATCATTCGATGTTAACGGTTTGTGCTGTTTGAGTTTTCTTAAAAGTTTATTTCCAAACACTTGCCTGAACATGGTTGTCGCGCTTCCCAGGCGAGACAAAGCCTAATGTCCATTACGAGTCCCCTCTGCTGGCAAGGAACTGATGTGAGGCTGTTGGTTTTGCTCCTAGGTGGTGGGCCTGTACCGGCTATGTGGCTCGGCAGCGGTCAAGAAGGAGCTTCGGGAGGCGTTTGAGAGGGACAGCAAGGCTGTTACTCTCTGTGAAAGCCAGTACCCAGATATTAATGTCATAACAGGTAACACTTTTCCTTGCTTTCCTTTTAATTTAGAATTGTGCCATGTGCATAACGTGAGGTGAAAAAGGTGAAATTGTGCTCTGAACGAGTTTTCTGCTGTCGTTTAACAAGCTGGTAACGGCTGCTCTGTATTGCTAAGGGTCGGGTGAGAAGGAGCGCCGTAACCTTGGGGATGGGTACATGTGAAGCAGCAGTGATTTGGAGTGAGGGGGTTATGGAAAGAGCCGCTTCCAGTAACTGCTTCCCCAGTTACAGGTGGAAGTCTGACAGGAGCCGAGGTCCCCGGAGCAGGTTAAACCTCTGCTGTTGGTTTGTATTGGAGCAGATCTTGAAAAACTCGGTTGTGGTCCGAGATGCATGCTGTGCCGGTTGCTCCACAGCGTGTGATCCATCTCGGGTCGACCCATTGTCCTCCCTTTGTGTCGGAGTTTGCAGGGTTTTTGGAAACAGATTTCCCATCATCTTGTGCAGGCTAGTTAGAGCTGTGGGGAAGTGCCTTCGGTTGGTCACCTGCTGCTTTTAAAACGTAATTAGATAGCAGCTTTCTCCTGCTCGCTGGGGTGGCCCCTTGCTGTCACGCAGTAAGCTGCTGGCAAAGGGGACAGGGACGGGGAGCACAGGACCCGGAGGTCCCAGGAAGCCCATCTGCATCTGCGTCAGCCCTTTGCAGGAGTGTTTACACCGGCATTGCACTGCGCCGCTGAAGCAAGTTGTTGAGGGTTTTCTGTTTGTTTGTTTGCTTAAAAGTGGAACAGTTCTATAACTATTGAGACTTGTTACATAAACCGAAGTTGGTCTAATTTCAGGCATCACTGAGTAAACCAATTGCTCTAGGAAATGAGGCAGGAGCTTAGTTTCCTACCTATTCAGGGATGGAAAGTGTAACAGGAGTCAGGGTATAAATTTTCTGTGCCCAAGCCCTTCCAACATCCAGCTGTACGGGACAGTTCTACCCTGTACTGGGAATTAATTTTGTTCATTACACTTTATAATTATACAAAATGGTTATCGGAAGATATTACTCTATGACATTTACTGAATTAAATAAGCCTTTTGGTTCAGAACGTCCAGCTAGCTGGTTCACCTTACTTGCCTTGGCTGGTTTTGCTGTTAGGTTCAGTGTTGCTCACAGGCACCAGCGTTGCCAGCAGCAGAAACCGGTGTTTATGTTTCGCTCTGATGGGATACACCCTTTATAAAAGGGAGATCTAGAGTAAAAGTAAATAGTGTAAGAGATCTTTTAAACTGGATCATTTTCTTCTCTTTGCAAATAAATTAATGAGAAAAAGTAGTGATCATTTCTAAGAGCAAATTGTTCCATGAAATTATTGAAGTCCTGTTTTCTTCCCCGTTTTGTAAATCAACTACAGAAGGGGGAAACACACACACCACCACCACCACCCCCCAACACACACACACACACACACCCCGTTGCTTTTTGCCAAACAACAGAAGCTGATACTGACTTGTAAGCAGACAAATGGCAAACTGCTATTTGGTTAATGGAAACTTTTGGCTAATGGAAAACTTGGGGGTTTGGGTTTTTTTCTTTTTAATTTTGGAATAATAAAAATGGCATTGAACTCCCATGCTACAAATAATCATTGCAATAAAACTATTTGCAAGAAACAGTTCAGGAGTATCATGGGAAAGGGTGTAGGAACTTAATTCTCATCCATATACAGAAGAACCTGCAACACTTCGTAAGCATTTTGATTTTCCTGAGTACATTGTACACTCAGAATGAACCAGAACTGGCTGAAACCGAAGACTGAACTGCAGGAGAGCTCGGTATTGATGGAGGGCCCGGGAAGGGCAGCGGTACGGTCTGACTGATCTTTCCATCATGAGTTTATGATGTGCTAGTTAAATAAAAAAGCGTACTTCAGTTTTCCAGTATACATTGCCACAAGCCTCGTTGGCGATGGTGAACGTTTGGTGACTGTGCAGGTCCTGCTGGACTCTTGGTCCTTTTTTGGCTTGTACTACTGAAAGTTATTTTATTTTTGCATCCAGAATTTGTATTGTAAGAGTGAAAAGATGACAGCCTTGGTGTCTGTCTTACGGAAGGACTGCTGGGTATGCTTTTCTAGGTGTTACATTGCAAGAGTTGACCTACATGCTGCTTTCCTTACAAGGAAAAATAGTTTTAAGAAATTACGTTTAAAAAACCC